TTCTTATCCACGTACTGCAGAAGTAACTTTTCAGAAGTAACGATGCCTCTTCATCCTTTCACTTTTTATGGCGAGTTTATCTCGTTATCATATACCTTGAATAGCCATTTTGATATTAAACAATTAATCTACGTTGACTGTAATTAGAAAGGCTCTGGGTTCAAAGCGTTAAGCGGTACTCTGCTTAAATAATTTCAGTTTCTCGAAGACATTAATATTAATTGAACGTCCTGGGTAAATCATCTGTAGATTCTGTCATCTCGTATCATATATTGTATAGGTACATTCGAATGGTAAGGGATCTTTTACCCGCGTCCTAAGATTGAGATCTTATCGAGCATTTTCTGCGAGGAGTATCTTGCCATTTTAAAGCAGAGACAGGTCACTTGATTTTCGACAAAGCTGGAGTGACGTGACATAGAGATACCGTTTTGCGGTTGAGAGCTTTTGCGAGCTGTCTGGCATCCTCACGTGTACCATGTGGTACTCCACCAGGATGATGGATATAGGTATATAGGAGGATATGTAGGTATCTATAGTTTCTCCATGAGGAAAGCATCGTACTTCGTTTCGGTTCTTAGGTGAGGATGTGTAAGTCGATACCGTCTGGCTTTGGCTTGAGATGCGACAACGAAAAGTAACCAGACCACTGAAAGAGCCTCCTTTCAACCACAATGAAAGACAGGAACTAGAGTGTGGTAATTCTCTCCCATGTAAGTCTCTTATTCCCATCGACTTGAAATCAAATAAGTTCGCCTTACGAGAGGTCTCGATTTTCGTTCTTGTATGCTTCTTTGCGATGTCGAGAATATCTTCGGATATCACGGCGCCAAGTGACCTGTATGGGAATTGGAAATCGTTTTTCCAATTTCCGATTTTTTAAATTTACATATCCTTGCAAGAAATTTGCTCGAAATTTCATGCAGAAGCTGATGTACCCTGGGAACGTGTCAACGACCGGCCGATTGCTGGCTACCCAATTCCTCACGGTAACAGGTCTCAGACTTCTGGTTTTACGTTGGCATACTTGTGTTAAAGGTATGGTGTTGGCATGAGGTAGCTATACTAGGCGAGAAGCGTACCTTAATTCTTTAACAAGGAAACAAATAGACAAGGTTGACGTACCTTTGTTTGTCTATATAAATATTGTTCGGCATAGGTAGAATGCGAACGCTGTGGCAGATCCTGGCCTGATCTTCGTATTCCATCCTAAGGATCTTGTCCAGAACAATCTTATAGGCAGCCAAACGTGCAGTACCTTATATGAGAAGAAAAGAGTTCAAGATGGTTCGAGAGTTCAAAAATGGTCGTATCAATCAACATAAGGGTATTACGTTCTCCGAAGTAAATTTCGTGTCTCAAATCTACGAAAGGGGACGAGAAAAGTTTTTGGGATCATCTCGATCGAATTTAACGCCTTCGGCAAGCGTTCTTAGGTTTCTGGAAGAAGACTATACACGACCAGTGAAGAGGACGAATTCTTCTCTACCACTGCTCTTCTTGATTTCACTTTTTTTCTTCTTCTTCTTCTTCTTCTTCTTCTTCAGGATTTCTCTCGAGAAACTTCGATCTCGATGAAGTTAAAAGTTCCGTGGGCAAGCAACGGCTGTACGTACCAACGTACCTACAGATGGCTGACGAGTCGGGTACCGCATGGACTTGAGTGCTCCGCAGCATCCTGCACTGAGAACTGGCACAAGCATGTAAAAAGATGGTGGCTACTTAGGCAGGAAGCAGTCGAGGCAGTCGTCAAGAGTACAAGCGCTTCCTTTACAGTCGACCGCTTCCTGGGGAGTCTCATTTGCTTGGATTATTTTCCACGGCGTTCCATGTTTAATGAATTTGAGCTTTGTACGAAGGGACAACGTCAAAGGGAAACTTCGAGTCACTTCTCGCGGGCTCAATATAATACCGGGTTCCAGAGAACGGATAGAGTTCAAGGGAGAAAAACTCGAGAGCAGTATCTATGGCTTTCTCATAAGATAGTAAAGTCACTGTACCATTTATTGGAGTATTTCTATGGTATCAAGATAATGAGATGGTTTTCGCATAAATTAATTAGAAAGTTTATAGATACTTTTTGTCCCCTTTTCTTTTTATTCCTGATAACTTTTAGTAACTCATAAGCTCGTAGCGTTGTTTCTGCTAGTGAAATTCTTTTGTAAGACGAAATTGAACTTCGAGTAAGCATCTTATGCGTGTCTGGGTATGTGGTGTTTTTATTGGATCTCTTGATTTATTGTAGCCATTATTTCCTTTCGGTGATGAAACGAGGTAAAAAGCGTAGACTCAGTCTGATGGATGTGAAGCCTGATGTTTATGTAGGGATAGAAATAATGGCGTGCATACCGTGTATAAATACGTGTACATGGCATCGTATAATGTATCGAGGATATATGAATTATCAGTTTCCATCATTGCTCCTGGATTGATAGCAATGGTACGAGACTGCCGATTCTATTAAAACCGTCGCTTGTTATATCAATGCTAATTTCGTATAATAATATTTCAGGTCCGTCTCTCGTAATAATTGGCATTCCCGTGAATTAAATAAAAGAAAATTTTTCATTTAATTTTTCCCCCCTATTCTTCGAGCGAGTCGGAAAATAAAGAAGCAATAAAATTTTAAAGATCGATATGCTATTTTCACGCTGGTTTTGCAATAAGCACATTCTTTTTCTTGCCAACGTTCGCTAACAGCTACTAGGCTCGCTTTACTCTTTTTTTATATTGCTAATAAAATCAAGCGTCAAACACGCCGAAAACTCGATTCCCAATCACATATTAAATCTCACGAATTTACGTGAATTCAACAATTTCTTTCAGTCGAATGCCCAATGGAGATTTTTCATCGATTCGTCTGCGCACCTATGCATTCCGAGCGAGTACGAAATTTTCTTGACGTAAATCGGCATAGTGCGATTTGGCTGGATGGCCGAGCAGGATTTCTAGTAATAGTCACCTAGTTCAACCCGAGGTTGCATTTATCGTTATACCCACTTGCTTTGCATAATCGCCATTTATGCATGTCCCGCGTAACCGTAAGGGATGCTGGGGAGAGGAGCGTCCCGACGCTTCTGTAATGTCCCGGGCACTTACCCCTGCGACGCTAGATAGCAACGCTAATAGCAGCCAACAATGCCGGAATAGCAAACAGCAACGGCCCACCTCAACTTTATGGAATTTGTGTGTGTAAGCCCATGTGTGCTGCATTTAATTTCAGCTCGACTAAATTACGGGAAAAGTTATGCGGCTATCTGGCCAGGGTAGATACGTCATTATCTTTTACAGGAAAGGCCACGCACGGTCATTTCTATAGCTAAGCATTTGCACGTCAAACTGAAAGCATTTTCCACGTGTCCACTTCACGTCGCATTTCGCGAAAACTCTGCAAACATGTTTCACGTACTGAATGGAATTTCTCCAACTCTACAACTTTCTAAATTTCGCTTGATTAAAACTACGTTAAATTTCTCGCGTGCTAAATTTCCAATTTACAATATTGCATGGACGCCGTGTAAGAAGATATTTAAAAAATTACATTTTTACACAGTTGTACCGTAAACGGCAAATCAAGGTTGATAGACACTTTTGTTGATTTTAGGTAAAAAGTAATTTTTCACATAGCAAATTCCTTCAGTCAATTTAACATTTCACATCGTTATCAGTATAGTGTAAGAGTTAATACCTATATATAGTAACTAAGATGATACTAATTAAGAGTTAGTATCTATAGACACTAACTCTTACACTATACTGATAACGATGTGAAATGTTAAATTAACTGAAGGAATTTGACGTTGTACCCATATCAGTTCAAAGATCTCGCCATACGTCGTAGACAGCCTCGTCACGAAGGAGGATGTGTCCTCTCATGCGTGGGTGCCACATGAATACGTCATTGTGAATTCGTCACTACAAGAAAAAAGTTCCAGACAATTCCAACTGCAACCGAACTTTAAAGAAGTGCAGCCACCGGTGGAATACGCATCGTTTGTTCTCCCGATGATTTATACGTTCCGTAATGTCCCATGCCAGCCATGTGTTTCCAGTATGACGGAGCAATTTGTTCTGGATAGGTTATGCATAGCGATGGTAGTTGCTTTACTGTCACATTGTCAAGGATGACCCGTCGCTTTCAAGAGGGCATATCTCAAGAACGGTAGGAAGAGAAAAAGAGTTTATCTCCAGGAGAAAGAGAAAACCAAATCGTTGAAAGTGGAATCTCTCTTTTGAAAAGTTGAGGATTATGGCTTTCCTCTTCCGTGTGACGGATCATAAATTGCCGGACGTTATTACGACTTCTTTTTTTTTAAATCCTCAGCGTTCTCGCAATCCCCCATTCACCTTGAGACATAGGACAAGATGGTATCTGTCACCGAGAGTGAGTGTCTACATATGTTCGCTAACACTTTATCGGTAAAAAGCTCAACGACTTAAGTGACTGATGCGAATACGAAGGGAAGAGTTGCATATCCGGTGCACGCGATGGCTGATGCCTCCTGCCGAAGTGCAGTTAAATAGAGCGGACCTACCTTGACTGGGAGTTTTACATAATTGCTGTTATAAAGTGATCGTTAAAGTCCTCGTTCTTTACCTATACCTATATATATACCAGCCAGTGCGTAAGATATTATGCAGTTCCTGTAGTGTGCCTGAAGTCTCTTCTTTTTTTTTTTTTAAGAATAGAAAACGTAACTAAGTATCTTATTATGGATATACGTACTGAAATGATTATTGGCTGTAGTATCCATTGAAAAGTACTGCAGACTTACGTTATTGGATTATTATTAGGAAAAAAAAAAGTTCTTGAAAGGAGGTACTCTCGCTGGAGGATGATTCCACGTTTTCTTGTATTGCCCTTGTTAAAAATTTTACAACGAAACTTCCCGGGGCCGTAATGCCAGGGTGTATCGGGGTGATGCTATGGCTTTTGCGTAACGGTACTCGCGCATAATTGGCTTAAAATGGAGGTGTCGTAAAACGAGCAATTAACTGACCTGTTCAGGAGACTCGGTGATGAAGGAGTGGCAGTATTGGATGCTGAAGTGTGCCCTGGGCTCTCGCGCCAGGAAGCTGAATTGGGCGTGTTGAGGTTCACAAGTTGCATATGAGATGCGCCTCAGCGCGTGTGCCATCTGCACGCTCTGTAAAAGAAAATTGCATAAGGTAAGGTTAATTAATCACCGTCTCGCCGAATATACTAACCGAATATTATTAACAATGCATACAGCTATATTAATGATACCAGGTAGATAATTACAGTAGTTTACAATTTAACAAGATATCGCAGGAATGTCTCTCGTACCATGCATGAATCCTTCGTAATGATGTATACGTATATACGTAGCCATAAGAAAAAAAAATATTCTTTTTTTTTCGCTCCTGAACTAAATTTCTCAAAAGCACGTGGTGGCCATAAATTTTCTCCAATGAAATCTCATAGCTGGCATAACTCGGCTGCGCTCTTCAGCTTGTTCGCTGCCGTATGACACTTTATCCTTTTGGGATGGTCTCACCGAATTCCATACATACGTAATGACGCAGCAGACGGGTGTCGTTGATTAGTATAGATACGTGAAAGCATAACGCGGCGTTATATTTCACTTTGCAGATGGTAAACATCCTTCAAATAAAGTGGCGAAGAACGCTCCCGTCCAGAATAGTAGTGCTCTTATGTATTATCTTGAATTATATCTTATCCCAGCCACTGGATTTCTCCGTTTACTCTTTCTCCGTATCCTTGAGTTTCTTTTCTTCCTACCCCAAAGTCCTACCTAACCACGTGCGCTTCTATGTATACATATGTATCTATACGTATCCGTGAAGTTATACACGCATTTCTTTGCCATGCTTCTTCCAGGAGTGCATCATTATGGATAACGGGTTTCCTTCGCCAGGGTAAATAACGTGGGAGAAAGGTTTACGACCTTTTCTCGGATCCTTCAATTCTATTTTTTTATTTTATTTTTTTATTTCAAATATCGAATTGTATCGCAAGCTTCCTGCATGAGAAGCCACCGTGATGAAGAATATTCTAGACGTTGTGAATTTGAATGTTGATTAGTTTTGTTATATATGGCCGAGAAACATGCGAGACTAATTTCTCTTTACAGAGAGACTTTTTAGATTACATTTTTTTTCTCTTATCTTCATATAGAAATTCTATTAATTAGTTGTACAATTATCTTGTACTAATTGCATCGTCTCAAAGAAGCACCGACCGTTGGATAAGATGATAAAGATGCAGTAAGCGGCATGTAACTGAAGTTATCGTGTATCGTAGGGTCTATGTGGATTATCGATTCTCCCTAGAAGGAATGTCGTAAATCACAGGAAGGAAAAGGAGGAGGGAGAGGTTTGAAGAGAAGAATAAAATTCGTGAGTGGAAGAGAGATGTAGAATGAATATGTGTAAGAAGGCAAAGAGAAAGAAAGCGTTACGAAAAAAGGAGGGGGGGGGGATAAGGAAAGACAGTGAAAGTCAAAAGTTTTCGTGAGAGGATTTCGAATTTCCCGGGATAACGTGGACGACCAATGAAATGTGACTTTTTCACTTTTATCAGTTGTGACAACGGATTTGCTTTCTGGGCATTGAGCTTTTGGATACGATACGGTTCGATTTTTCTTGCCATTCGAATCAGTGGTTTTACGTCACGAAGCTCAACTCGACGTATTTGACGTACACCCTACAAGAAAGTGGCATCCTCATTAAGCGAACATCACATAAATATCACTTATGCGTATCAGTCGCGCAAGTCACGAGTATCAGGGCTCGTTAGCGTGTGCGGTAAATCTTCGGTAAGTACGATCTGACGAGTGTGGGATGGGACCCTATGAGCCCTGGAATTAAAACCAGGAGCGGGTACTACCGCCTTTAAAATCGGGCAGCCCCTGAATAGACATTTCCTTTTTCGAGCATCGAATAAAAATGAAATTAAATTATTTCTAGTGCGCCGGAGATCAATATGGCGCTTTTATACGCAGGCAAAATAATTTGGCATAAAATCAAATTGATTCAATGTACTATATGTAATACAAATCGATTCTAGTAATCAATTAAACTAACTTGCACAGGTGCCCCGTGTATGGTATATATGTTGAAAATTAACGGGATCGGCAATGCTTTCCCAATAACTACACTGCAAATCGCACGTTTTCACGGCATGACGTTATTGCAACGTGACCGATGATTTACTGTTCACTTAGGTGGGAATTATATACATCTTTAATCTGAGCCTAGTTTCGCGGCAGACGCATTAATTTAACGATAGGTTATTAAATGCATTTACATATAACTTTGTGCGAGTTACGGGGACAAAGTATCGTGGTGCAATAATAGTTTCTCCACCTTCGAAACTTTCTCACTGTGGCTTGTCGTTTCCTTACCGTTCTTCTATGCACCTCTTGTAGTATACCGACAGCGATTTCCAGAACGATTCTGACGCGGCACAATTATTCAATAACAAGTTAATTTACGGCGGTTTCATTTGCCTGGAGATTTTGGTGCTTTAGTGTAACCAAAACAAGTACCGAATGATGATTGCCTCTATATCCTCTCGCCAGCAATCATAATCAAGAACCCGTTCCGGTTTTTTTGCTACTGGGAGAACCGGTAAATCGTTTGGGCATTTTCGTATCGGAAGATAATAAAATTTTGTTCGTGAAACCCGTCATTAACCGAGATCACCAGAACCTGTTAAAATGGTTTGACGTTACTGGAAGAAGAAACGTGTGAGTGCGGCTCTATATTTATATCGATTAATTTGTATCCTCAAATCCATTACGATGTTACGGATAATCCGGAGAATCATATTATCAATGTCATACAAAGATATTATAAAAATTTTCCATCTTTTGTCACGATCATGACGTGATAAAAGATCGCTTTACATCCGCAAAGAGGACCACGTCTATGGTCTAATATATCAACAGTGATTCATAGTAATGGAACTTTGCGTAACCCTTGCAAAAAGCGCGATGTCACGTTTCGTGGATTAATGTAGTTCATTTTTTCCCTCTAAATATCACACGCAGATTATAACTTACAGGGAATCGCAATGTATTTAAAAAAAAAAAAATTTCTTTGCCATACCAAAGAATTTTATAGACAGTAATTACTCATGCGCACAGAGGACAATTCATTGGAATAAATAAAATTTGTAAGTCCTACAGATCCTACGAATATTTTTTAAAAAGTTAAAGAATTAACTGCCATCTATATTCATATGTAAGAATCACGAATCTCTATGGACTATGTTCAAGACGATATATCGTGTTCAGAATAAATGAAGTTAATTTGCGCACCTGGCTGTATATTCCACTTTGGAAATACGTATGCCGATTATTTTAAAGGTGAAAAAGTATTCAGGGTGAAAAGCATTTGTTTACTCGGTAACCATGACAGGATATTTTCTTTTACCACGGGACAGCCGTGATCTGTGTATTCACTCGAAGTGGCGACTGTACGTGCGGAAGATATAAACGATGCAGCAACACGACCACCATCAATAACTTCTCTTCTCGATGTTCTTTCACTCTCTTTCTGCTTCGTGTTCTCTCATCTCTTCCACTCCCTTCTTTCTCTTAGCTACTTTCTTTCCTGTCTTCTCCTATACGTCTCTCTCTCTTTCTCTCTCTTTTGCTTTACACGAGTCGTTGCACATAGGTAAACTTTCATCCTGGACGATCAGCGAGCTGCTGGCATCATTTCCCGGCGATGTTTCTTTAAGGTCTTAAATGTTATATCCCTTATCAAAAGTAACTGCCAGTCTCCGGGGTGTAATTGAAAAAAATGGCCTGTAAAATTTCCATCCCGGAAATTCAACCTTCTCGGGATTTTTGTGGAAAGTTCAGATGAATAATCGACTGTATACTCTGATAAGAAATAATCAGTGCGTATCTTCTCGTAACGGGGCGTGTAATCATTCAAGCATTGATAAAGCTCGGAAAAACAAATGTTCTATTGCGAGAACAAATAAAAAATGACGTTTAGGATTTACTGTGAATTTTATGTTGGTTTCTTATTGGGATTTTTTTTCACGACTGTCATCCCGACTATAGCGACTATGTGATTTTCTGCATTTCGAGTGAATTCAAGGATTTGGGGTTGTGTCGCGAAGAAAGAATATCTCCTATAGAATTTCACTTCAGCGAGCGAGATACGCCAACTTCATATGATCGAATGACGTCGGCAGGTATCTTGAAATTTCGAGACTTGCACACTAACAAGATTTTCCAGACAGACGTTGTCTACGGAATGGAATTTTAATTTGAAGATTGCGATGTACATAGAACGTCCGACTTTCGTTACGGATCAAAATGTCTGACGGTCATGCTCGTTATAACGTGTACTTTACATTTCCATGAATATCGTCTAAAAAAAAAGTGTAGAAGCAAAAGCCGTGACATATTTCGTTACGCTACGCTACGTAAACGAAAAATCTGTGAGTTCAGATCTACCCGCCATACGGGACTGGTTTGTCTTACTAACGAGGGAACTTGTCAGGGCGACTTACTCGTTATAGAAATTGTTTAAGGATAAGAGATGAAATATACGATATTGGCGTACGTAAGACTTGCATTTAAAAAAAAAAGAAAAAAAAAAGATACTGTACAAAAATAATGTTCAGCTATATCTAACCGCATAAAAAGATAGGTACCGTGCGAGGTCGTCGAACCATAAAATCGCGATAATTGAAAATTCGATGCCTATGCAACTAGAAAGGCTTGATAACTTATCATGTTTATTTTGTAGTCTATACTACAAGTTCGATATTTATTCCGAATCACCCTGTATACCTATGTATATTGTCCGTTGTATTATATATATCGAAATTTGCATAATGCATATATCCTGATGTATCATTATAATCATCAGAATGCCAATGGTTTCGCATCGGTGCGATTTCAATTGCACTCTTCCTCCATGATGATTATTCGTTGTAATTTTAGCGTGCTTCTTTACCGGCCTGTTCGCATTCACTGCGTGACAGGCGCTCTTGTACGCTTGTTGCTTTGTAATTTGACGGAGTGATCTAAATGATAAAGCATTCACGGATTGATCTCTCTCACCGTTATCATTAGATCTTCAAATATCGTGAGAATCGTAGGGAGAATGGACAGGAATTTCAAAAAAAAAATAATAA